GCAGTCTACGACCCAGACAGCTCTTTATATATCAATTTATTTAAGAGACCCAACAGCTAAAAACGCCTGCGCCGACCCAAAATTGAGCAAAATAGCACTTGGCGACAAGGCAAGGAAAGTACAAACTGGCTCTTTTTAACAGGCCAGAACACTAGGCAGCCAGAATCCCTTGCGCGGCTCTAAAGCGGGTGGTCGTCCCGGTTCTCCTGAACCCTAAGTGGGCGTGAAGTAGAGACGAGAGAGAGAGCAGAAGAGAGCAGACAGAGAGAGGAGACAGAAGAGAGAACAAGACAGCTAACAGGACAGACAGACCAGACAGAGCACGGTGCAGCAGCCAACCAACACGCTATTGTAATGGCAACCCAGTCAATGGAGCCATGGCAAAGGAGAGCTCCAACCAGGAATCGATAAGAAACCTGCGTATGAACGATATAAAGCACAAAGACCCGGGAAGAAAGGAAAGTTAGTAATTATGTAGCGTTAGACCTGCTCTATTTGAAAAGTGTCCTTGAGATAACTTCTGTTATGAATTGGCGCTATACAAATAAAATTGAATTGAATTGAATTGAATTGAATGCGTGTAAATGGGTGAATGTGCCATGTAGTGTACAGAGCTTTGAGTGGGCGAAATACTAGACAGGTGCTATACAAGAACAGTCCTTACCATTTAGTATTAAACCACATTTAACTACAGCTGTCACATGCTGTCACATGCAACTGCACAATAGTGTCTAACTCAGGTCTCAGAGCATTGTATAGTTCAGTATCTACTTATTATTATAGATTAATTCTGTTTTAAAGTTACACTGTAAAGTTTTTAAGTTACACTGATATAGGCTAATAAAAATAAAATACATTTTGTAAGAAATTGAATATATTAAACAATAATTGGCTACTTTGAGTTAAATATTATTGTGATAGTCCTGCCCCCCCCCCCCTCTTTGCCCACCTCAGCAGCAGACCATTTAAATAAATGTCCTATAGAGATTTGGTAAACTGATGGGTGTAATTTTCCAGGGACATCTGGCCAGTGGCAGTAAAAATTCTCTTTCTTTCATTTGCTCTGTGCTGTGTGGAGGGAAAAGCAGGGCATCGGCAGTGTGTTGTGCCCTCGGGCTTCAGCATTTTCCTGCCACATCAAGGCCACCTCCAGCGCACTAATTGCTGCATGTGGTGGGGGTTTGGACAGATGTGTTTATTTATAGGGAGAGGGCTGGACCACTGTCATTTGCAACACGCTGACATACTGGAGCAGCAGCACAGAGGACGCAAGCAAAGGACAAAGGACAAACTTAGCAGCAGGAAGCCATTACAACAAGCACCTCCTGTTCCTGTGAACTCTGGGGTTAAGAGGCCTTTCTCATTTCTCAGTTTGTACATCCAAGACTCCTTCCGCATCTTTGTCTCTCCCACCTAAGATGTGAGCAGAGGAGGAAGTGCAAGAGGAGAGAGGAGCTGAAGCCACAGGCAGTTAACAAAATGAGACATTGTTGCTTCGGAACCACCAACAACTGCAAAGCTGTATTATCTGCTCATTGTTTTCTTACAGGTCACCGCTGTATTTTATGATTTCTGTCAGATGAGAGTGTTTATAACAATTATTATATATTTACTTTTAATTCAATTCACAATGTGGCATAATGTGACAAGAATCTATGGATGTCATACTATTTCTTAATTAATCAAACAAAAAATATGACATTATAATATATTAACAATTCATTATGTGTTGGTAAAAATACATAACTCTAAAAAAAACACAAGATAAAGTATGTGGTCAATTTGGCATCTATATAATGCATACATTTTTTTAGGATTTTGTCGCCTTGACTTGCTACATTTACTTACCATTTTAAGTGGGAGATCACCGTGGGAATGAAAGGCAAGGTGTTTAATAAATTATTATTTCTCACTAAAATAAGTGCTGGTTGGTGGATCAGATATACTCAAATTAAACACAGTCATCAACACCACCACTACACATATTTGAACTACCTGTATCAAGCTACTCAACCAATGAAGGGCAGAAAGTTTGATCACACATTATAAATACATGTGTAAAATGTTCACGCCATGGTTTGTATATATTCCAGCTGTCACACCGCTTTTCCACCCCATAGGTGCCAGATAAAAAAATGCAGAATAATTGACTTTTCAGCAGCAGCAGAGTTTTAACTTCTTCTTATTGAACTTAAATGGTTTAATTGATACAATTGTTGCCAGGAAATGCATGGAGAGAGAGGGGGTGACATGCAGAAAAGGGCCCAGGGCCAGTCTCGAACCCAGGCCTTGGTGAATTAAAGGATAGCTGGCCTTCTTGCTGTTGGACCAGTCAGTAATATTAGCTTCTGCTATGTCTTGTGTTGTTGCACTTGTTCGAGTTTGGCTGTGTCAGCAAAGTTGTCAATTTGATAGTTTTTGATCGTAAGTAATGTAGTCATAACAATTGTGCAGCTGTCCATATTTATCACAGTGGGATTGCAACTGGGGGCGCCACGTTCATGGCCAAGTGGCGTTATCCATGGTACTGTAAAAGGAGATTTAATTCTGGTATTCTAGCCAGATTTATTTATTTATCTTTTGTTTTGTTGTCTATGATGGCATCCCCCATGTGTTGCATGAGGAAAGTGAGTGAAAATGTTGCACTACTTGATGAATTTAATTTCCTAAAATGGACACTTTTCAAATAAAGCAGGTCTAGACCATACTCCTTATAAAATTATTTTACAGAGGACCCACACGAGTTTTCCCACCATGAGAAAGCATTTGGCGACAGTGGCAAGGAAAAATGTGCAGCAGCAAAAGTAATAACTCTACCTTTAAACTAAACAGGACAAAGGAAATACACCAGTAGTTGTCCAAGCAATTTCTTTGTATGAAACTGGACTCTGTATGTTTGTCTTTTTGGATGTGTAGAAGAACACAGAGTAATAATTAACAATAAATTCTGACTGATCCTGTCGGCATGTCAGATTTAAATAATCAATGAAGACGCTGCTGGGCCTTGTGCTTAAATGGGCACAGATTCTTTCCCAACCACAACCCATAAGAAAATTATAATTATTGAGGCGCACAGTAGCTCATCTTGTACAGCGCGCCCCATGTAGAGTCCTTACTGCAGTAGCAGTAATTATTTTAATCGTGGTGAAAACTGGGACATGTTAGTGTTTTATCGGATATGATGAAGATATGATAATTGGGAAGTAATATTTGTCAGGACTCGAGACACCCAGCTTGAAATCAGGACAGTCCCGGGACGTCTGGTCACGAGTGTTTGAACTGTACCAAAAAAAGGTGCAAGTACCCTAATTCAGCACAACCCTAACACAACATAACCCTTACCCTAATTCTTTTGGCATGTTTTTATCCATTTTAAGGTGACAATGTTACTGAAGACCCACCATTACTCTGCCACTGAGTGGCTCTGACATTTTCTAACCCAAACCATTTTACTCCTCATGTCTAAACCTAACCAATCAAAGCAACAAAGACACATTAGCCTATCGGAGGCAGAGCAGGAAGGGTCTTTGTAGAATGCCGTTGGGGGGAAAACAACCAAGCATTATGCAGGTGTTCAGGGGTGCGTACCTAGACTTACCAGGAAGTCGTGGTACTCAATAAAGAGTAAGGGTACTCATGTGGACAAAAATCAGTAGAGCTCAGTACTGGTGATCAACAGCCCATTTCAGGCACAAATACCAAATCTTACATAGAGTTGCTTTAACAAGTACTTTATGTCGCAATCAAACCTTAAGAATTATGAGAAAACACACAACAGCATGTTTGTTTCTCTAAAATAAAAATCTATTTACTGATTTTGGACCTGAACAAAGCATGAGCTACAGTATAACTGCTTAAAAATAGATACATGATGTTACTGCAATGATGAATATACATCAGCCAAAATGAGCACAGAAATTATTCCTTATCAGATTAGAGTTTCAATATTGTACTTCTACAGTCATTTATTAGCAATAGCTGCATTGCAATAAAAAGCACTGACATCCTTTAGGCATGCAATTTAAAATAAGCTGTCTTACAAATGGTAAATCAGAGGAACAGCAATGCAACAACTTGTATTGTATCTGAATGGAACATTTCTCAACACAATTAAACAACCGCAGCACACAGCTTCTTTAAAAGCACTGCAGCATACAGAGTGTGCTCAGTTATCAGGGCCTGAGAGAAGTGAATGGGGGTATTTAGTGGTGATTACCCTCTTAAATATGACACAGCAGCTACGCTGATATGACAGGGGACAGTTAGTGAATCATGAGGCCCAGTCGAGACCATCACAACATGCTACCTGCAAGTAACAATTAGAGTGCTATGAAGTGGATTAATGGAACACTTATTCGCCCGCAGTAAACAAAATGGCACTTCACCCTGGAGTTTAGTGTCTAAATTACCTCAGTACCTGGGAAAGAGGAAAGTCAATGCATTTTACACATTTTTATTTAGAGGCATCTGTCAGTAAGCAAAACACGCTTTGCACTGAATAAAGTCTGATAGTCGATTGTGAATCCATTCATAGTGAGTGTGTCACTGTCAACCCACAGCAGTTAGTAGCTCAAAGCCTGCTGTTTCTTACCTGCCTCTGTGACTCACAATGACACTGCTGATATTCCAACTGTGACTAATCCAGATAGTCCGACCCATCACAGCCAACCTTCTCCACACACCTAAACAGCCCGTGTATTTGTGTGCATGTATGTGTGAGCAGCCCAGGAAAATACATCCACTCATTTCTGATTAATGGATGGGCAGGTAAAAAGCTAAGACTAGATCTGGCTGAATTGAAAAACAAACAAACAAACGGGAAAACATCTAAAGATTTTCTTCTTCTGCAAAAAAAGACAGCCTCTTCCCTCAGGCTGTGAGACTTTAAAATTCAAGACATTTTTCCTTGCCGCCATTGACAAGTGCTTGCTCATGGTGGGAACTATTAGGTCTCTGTAAATAATTTTATAAGGAGTAAGGTCTAGACCTGTTCTATTTGAATAGTGTCTTGAGATAACTTCTGTAATGAACTGGCACTTCGCCATTAAATTGAATTGAATATGGACATGATTGTGGTACAGACACAGTCTCAGCTGGTTGAACCTCTGTTCTGTCGCTTCAAGTCATCAGTGGAGAAGACCAAGAGTCAACTTGCATTTTGTAAGTGGAATCCCTGCATTTTAGGTTTTTAGCTGCGTCATTGTACACAGAACGACAGGATGGCAGGCTGTAACCGAGTCTCAAAACTGCAAAGCTAACTGTGATGGAAGTGGAGAAGAGCGATAGTTAATAGAGAGCAGCGCAATGCTGGACAGCAGGGCAGGGGCTTCCCACTCATTACTATTTTAAAATGTCTAGTGTGTAACATTTAGGAGGATCTATTAGCATAAATTTAATATAATATTCATAGGTATGATTTCATTAGTGTATAATCACTTGAAAATAAGAATCATTGGGTTTTCGTTACCTTAGGATGAGCTGTTTTTATCTACAGATCTCTACTGAAGCCACCATGTTGAACTGCCATTTTTCTACAGTAGCCCAGAATGGACAAAGGCCTTTTGCACTCAAAGTAGTTGATAGCAATCTGCCACTTTACCGCTAGATGGCACTAATGCTGCATTCACATGGATTCAGGCAGACAATAAACCAGATGCCATGTCAGTGGGTGAGAGGACAGTAAACTTAGGTGAGGTCGGCACCCGTAGCTGTAGACGGTAACAACTATTTTTTTTAAGAATTGATACAATATCACCAAAAAACTATATAAAAATATGTTTTCCAAAAGCTTTTTAGCTTTTTTCATCCACACAAAACTCAAAATTTCCAAACGCTAAATATATGGATGAGAAAAATGCTGGATTATGCTGAAAATATCACAAAGCTGCTGTTCTTTCAATATATATTTTGTCATTTTATTTTTTTTAATTTTGTATTCTTGAAGTAGTTCTTTGGATTAAATTAAGTTGCCAGTTGAATTAATATAAAAAATTATTATTGAAGGCAACAAACTCAACACATAACACAATACACTATTTTTTATGCTTGAATTTCAAATTCAAAACAGCTGTTTTTAGCAGGGTCCACAATTAATTCTTTGTCTCCTCTGGAAATGCAGGTAAACTGGGAAATTCACCAACCAAGCATCGTTCAGACACTACCTCTTGCAAAACACCAACCTCTGCAGTTATTTACCCGCTTAACGATTAAACGTAGACTCGTTCTACCTTAACACTCGTAGCTACTTCTTTCTTTTAGCGA